ACTTCTGAGGCCAGGCAGGCCGGAGTCAGGTGGCTGTCCTGCCCCGAGGGCGGTCGCAAGGGCACCAGCCCAGCCGGGCATAGAGTAGGCTACCGGCCCGTGTATTCGGCAGGGCCCCGCATGGCCAGGAATTGGCACAGCAGGGCGGCCCCAAGGAGAAGAGGTGGAGCTCCAATCCCGGACCTTTGTCCCTCGGGTCCATGTGTTCACAGTTCCAGGCCGGAGCTGCATTCGGGTTCCGCGGCAGCCTCGGTCTCTCGGTTGTCGGTATCGCTCTGGGGCTTGGATCAAAGTCAGTCAGTGGCTCCGTCTTGCCCGGCTGAGATGATCTCACGGTCGGTCCCACTGTACACTTCCTGGCTCTAGTCGGAGTCCTGCTGTTTGTCCGCTGTCCGGCCTCTGGCCTGGAGTGCCATCTCGTGGACATGTGGGGAGTTGTCGCGGCGGGCTCCTGGGTCCCTCTTGGTGCGAAGCCTGCAGCGCCAGAGAAGGACCGGGAACCAAGTGGTTCACTGCTGGAGCTAGCCTCTGCACCTCGCGGGAGCCGAAAAGGAGTTCCGTAGAGCTAAACAGAGTTCCAGGCGCTCCGCGACAGAGGCACCTCCAGATTCGGCGAGAGGTGACCAGGCTGCACTGCCGAGAGCGCTCCCTGGCGAGTGCCCGAAGTGGACTCAGAGCTTGGGTTCCCTCCCTTTCGCAGGTCTCTGTGCGCGCCGGCGTCCCCCCTCCGCCGCCGCCCAGTCCCAAAAGCGTGTGCTACCACCAAGCGCTCAGCCCATCGCCGGACCCTGCCCGCCCGGAGCCTGGACCTGCAAGACCAGGAGGGGTTTGGAGTTGGGGTTCTTCCCCAAGGAGGAAGGAGGGCTCAGAGTTTTAAACCTCGATCTCCTTGCGATCCTGTCTCTTGAGCCGTCCTATTCCCGGGAAGTGGTGGGTCAGGCCGCTAGCTGGGGCTTCACGTGCTGGTGTCCTTGGGAGGACAAAGTTGAACGCCGCGCCCCTTCGGGCCCCAAGGAATGCCGGGTGTGGGTGTTCGCGGTACCCTGGGGGAACAGGGTCAGGCCACCAAAACTCGTGATTTCCTCCTTGGCAGCACTTGCTCGGGGAAGGGGGAGAGAAGAATGGCTCGAGGGCTTGGAAGCCTTGGGTTAACCGAAGAGGAAATGAGGTCTCCTAGGTTTCAGGTCTCGGGAGAGTTAAAAGTCTGGACATAAACTGTTAAACGCTGAACTTGCCAAAAGGTTGAGCTTGAATGGATCCCGGGGCAACTAACAACAACAGCAGCAAAGGGCTGCTCTCAGCTTCTATTGGAAAGGTTGGTGGTTTGAACCCACCCACTGGTGCTGCAGAAGAAAAAAGGCCTGGCAATCTGCTTCAATAAAAATTGTTGTTAGTTGCCATGGAGTAGATTCCAATTTATGGGGGCCTTGTATGTTACGGAGTAGAACTGCCCAATAGGGTTTTCTTGGCTGTAATCTGTGTGTGTGTGTGTGTGTGTGTGTGATTTGGGTGAAAATTTACAGGGCAAATTCACTTTCCATACAGCAGTTTATACACATCTGTCTTGTGACATTGTCTGCAATTCCTCAAAATGTAACAGCATTCTTTCCAATTCCTCCTTGTAGTTACTTCTTCCCTGTGTCCTTCTTTCCTGTGCATTCCTGCCCTGAGCTGTCTCCTGTGTAAATGGTGCCCTTCTAAGCAGTTTATCTACCTGATGTAAATGTTTACCCCATATGCCTGTCTATTGTTTAGCTGGAAGCCACGGGAGTGAGTTCAATTCCAGTCCTGAAGAGTAACTAAGGGCCATAGTTGCCAGGGTCTCACTGTGTTCTAATCAGACCAGAAAACCTGTTTTTTTTTTTTTTTTTTTTTATGATTTTGAGTTTTGTTTCACATTATTCTCCCACTCTATCCAGGATCCCCTGCGCTGATCTTGGCTACAATCTTAATGGATCACCAGCTTTTTTCTTTCAGGGGTACTGCTAGGTGGGTTCCAACTGTCAACCTTTAGGTTACCCAAAACTCACCAAACCCATTGACATCCAGTCCATTCCCAGCAACCCTGTAGAACAGAACAAAACTGCATCTTAGGGTTTCCAAGGCTGTAAATCTTTAGGAAGCAGACTGCCACATCTTTCTACAGCAGAGCCAGCTGGTGAGTTCAACCTTTTGGTTAGCAGCCAAGTGCTTTAACCACTGCACCACAAGTGCTCCTCTTTAGGTTAGCTGTGGCATGCAAACAGTTTAGTAGTGGAGTGCAAACAGTTTGCGCCACCACAGCCAAGAAAAACCTGTGGAGCTCAGCTCTACTCAAGGGGTCACGGTGGGTGGGACTAGACTAGGGCAAGGGTTTGCTGTTTTTTTTCCTTGTTTTAGGTCGCAGGATCCAGGCAGCTGAGCCACTAGGGGTCTCATAGAGCCACCCACACCCCACCCTCAGTTCCCCTGTGAACCACACTCACAAACCCACACTAGCATGCCCAATTTCTCTCTCAGACCCCATACTCTCACTATACAACCTTCCATGGCAACACACCCAGTCACTAACAGGCCTCAATGACCCCTCAAAGCTCATCACCCCAACATATGCCCTGCACACACGTCCTCACTCTTAGCGTTCCGCTGTCAGAGCCCCATGTTGCCCGTCCTTGAAGGGTTAAGGAGGACTTGGGGCACCAGAGAGGCGGGTACGCGGGGCGCCTGAGCTAATTGGCGACCCTGGGGACAATGGGGGCCGGGTAGGCAGGTGGCCTAATTGGGCCTGGGAGAGGCCTGGCCTTTGTCTGGGACAAGGCCCTGCCGCCGGCCGGCCGCAAGTTTCCACAGCCGCAGTCACGCCTGCAGCTGGGGCCCTGCGGAGCGCCTGGAAGGCGACTTCGGGAGGGGACAAGTTAGCCGGGAGGCAGAGAAAGAGAAAATGGGGGAGAGAACGAATCCAAGCTGCCCTTGGGGACCAGGGGTCTCTCGAGTCCCCGGAATACCACCCCACCCTGCCGAAGCTGCAGCAACCACAGCCCATTCTTGCCTTGGTTGCGACCCTCCTCTGGTCTCTCCCTTTCCCTCCCACCTGCTCGCGGCCCCCCTCAGCCCAAGGTTGATGCTGCCCCCTAGTGTCAGCAGCACTTGCCGCTGGCCGCCGCGGACCTGCAGCCTCTTCCCAGCTGCTCTGCTTTCTGGTCATCCTTAAAGTGAGAAGCCTGGAAAAGCGAACGCACCGAAGTCTGCGAATTTTAGAGGCTCGGTTTAGCTCAAAGAGACGTCGAAAGAACGCACTGCCCAAGGGAAATTGTTTGAGCGGGGAAAGGGGCTTCCCTGCCCCCGCCTAGCTCCTGGACGGCTCCTTCCTGGTTCAGACCGCAAGGCAGAGGCAGAGAGCCCGAAACCTGCCCTCCAGAGACTACGTCAGGGTCTTGTGCACCCTCCCACTCATTCTTTGGCCGAGCCCCCCACCGCCCCTGCCAAAATTCAGCCTGAGGGCACCTCTCCTCTCCCACCACAGACAAGGACATTGGTCTCTTTTCTAGCAAATGCGTCAGCCCACGAAGGCGCCCTGGACTCAAGGAGGCGAGGATACTGTCCGTTCTACATGCACCTTCTCCCTTAACTCCATCCCACCATCCTTGGTATCCTTGGTGAGCTGGGGGCCAGTCCTTGTCCCCGCAGCGCCCAAGGCGGGCATCCAGCTCAGCCAGGGGGTCAGGAAAGAACTCCAAAGGCTTAAGAGAGAGGGAGGAGGCCTGGAGACACCTGCTAGCTAGCTGAGGAGGAGGATGGAAGATGCTTCCCACTTGAGCTCACAGGTTGCGCGTGGGGGAGGAACAAGGGAGTGCAGGAGTGGGGTGAGTGGAAGGGCGAGCCTACTGCAGACTAACAAACACAGTGGGACACCCAGCGCAGCCCACGGTTACACGGGGAAAGCGAGGCAGGGAAAGGAAAATAAGCTTAGTGATCCACACCCCCAGAGAGACTCCAGTAAATTCCAAGGAAGAACTGTGAGGCCACACTTTGCAACTCTAGTCAAAAACCCTTATTTGATTCGGAGATGTTTCTCTTTGAAGTTCAGGAGGCAGAGAGATGGGAAAGGATTCTGGGGTCCATGATAGCTGGAATGCTACAGCCAGGCCTATCTTGGGAAGGAAGACAGGGATCAGGGAACAACCACCTTCCCAGCCCCATCCACCCAGAGGCTCAGGAAAGAGTGCGTTTCCACTATGAATCTCGCCCAGGAGAGGTGGAGATTCCCCTCGGCGGGTGCCCCATTTCCGACTCCTGGAGTGGGGAGTCCAGGCAGCTGGGCTGTGCTTCGCCTGGCTCTGGCTCCCCGGTGTGCGCGCGGCATGAGGCACCAAGTGATTGGAGTGACTGACTG